TGTTTATTCTGTACTTAAGTTTATTTAAAAGTCCTCTGCTCTCAACAGTTATTACTACAAAACACGCACACACTAATGCTTATAAACCTAGAAACAAAAGCAACAGTATTGTATACTTAGAGAATTTCAAACAATAACATTTTAAAGGTATTTTTTAAGTTGCACAAACTAAAAATGCAACATTATCTAAAGATAGTAAAGGACTATTCCCAATATATTTCAAATCAAATTTTCCCCATATGGCAATAATCAAAAACCATGGTTCCCAAGCTTTTCCTGCTTTCACATGTTGCCATCTCTGCGTGTGTGTCAGCCTCCTCCTTCCCACCACTAAGAATCATTATATAAGACCTAATCAATATTGACACCTCCAAAAGCTTAGAAACTAGCATAGGCAGGGAGAGAGCAATCTGCCCACTCGCTTTTGTCTAAAGGCAGGTCTTTTATATTTTGAAATAATTTAAAAACAACTAAATATAATTCTAGAAATACAGTAGTCATTTAGTAAAAACATACCAATAACTTTTATCTTGAATGAAAATGACCTACTTTATAAATTCATATGTGATAAAATTGAATGCTGCTTTTACAAACTGGCTCTGAAATTCTGCTTATTTACAAAAAGTACCTTGAAAATTTTCCACATAGATCATTTAATAATTTAAATTTTGAGCTATAAGATTTTATATACATTGACTGTAAAACTTGTTTTATCATTAGCAAATCATACTTCTATCTTCTTTTAACATCTTCCCTGAGTTTTGTATACATGGATATATTAAAATCAAGATTAAAAGTAACATCATCTTCACTTAGTTAAGCAAGCCTCTCCTTGTACATAAAGATCACAGCAACAGTAGTCAAGTGTGAGGATATTAAAAATAAGAAGTATACAACATCTCTGACCTACTAAGTTGACGTATGAAAGGGCTACTCCCGCCTTCAATGTAATTTCTTTACAAAGGACTGCCAGGGATTGGAGAACAATAAGGAACCACAAGTGGCTAGTCTGCTGAACTTTTCTTTCTTTACCTATCTGTTTTGATGGTAAGCACATCTGTGGTCTTGCAGTATCGCTCTCCTATAAGTTTAATAAGTTTCTTCTTTGCATGGTCATCTAAATTCAAACTGGAAAGTTTAACCTTAAAAACACAAAAGAAAAATTATTTGACAAAAATTATGTCATA